CAACCACCTTCCTGTATGGAAAATATAAATGAAGAGGATTAGCCTCATATTTGTTTTTAGGGGTGGCTTCCCTAAGCTATAAATATTACTACATCCTATGATAATTGTATAATGGCAATAAATAATTCAAATTTTGATCCATTAGATGATTCAGTCGTGTATAAAACATCGCGTGGATGTTCACCCAACATTCGATTTTACGTATTGTGATTTCGGATTCGCTATAAAAATAAATATTCAAAAGAAATGCCTGCAAACAAATATGTGCATTATTTTAGACGCAAACCATCCTCATACCATGAGACATAACCATATTAAAAAAATAATCGGTATAAATTATAGTATATACGGTACTTCAGTATTTATGTATTACTGTAGAATTTTTTCCTATTACTGTTATAGCATTAAAGATATCGCATAAAAATAAAGTTCGTGATACAAGTAACTTGAATGGTTTGTACCATATTTCTGCAGAATCTTAGTGCAGTCAGGGATTTTACCAAATATGGAAATCGATTCTGGAATAATCTACAACAATCTGATTGGCTGTTGATCATCATTTTTTTAACATTTTTTCGATTTTTTAGTCACAGATCGAAGCTTTTAGTAATAGCTATATATGGTTAAACGTTATACAAACCAAGACTATATAACTTTTAGTACCAGGATCAATGAATAATACTTCGGGATCAACCCTTCTTAAAAAGGTAAATGAAACCTAAAGTGCAAGAATATTAATATCCAACTTCCTTGTTAAAAAACTAACTAGCCTTTTTTTTTAGCGTTTTATACCAAAATTAACCACGATGTCACAATCCTCAAGACCAAAAGCCTATGAACTTCCTTGCATATTTAGTAGACTAGTTAGTCGTTATGATAAAATCGGTCTAAGTGCTTGCGATACGTCTGCGTCACAAATCTGGAAGCATGCTGATAGTCAAGCAACAGTTAGGCGGCTCCCATTATTTCAGGCTTTTATACCTGAACTCACAGATCTTCAATCTAGTTTAAGTTCTTACTTGATCTGCCAAATGCATTACAATCAAGTTGTCTCTAAAGACCATTTTTATCAGCGTCTATCAAATACTTCTTCTTCTAGTCACATAGACAAAAAATCTCGATTTGATAACAATTCTAATAACAATTTTATTTCTGATTCTCTTTCTAACTCTAGTTTCAGAATTCATGGCGAGTCACATTTACGAATAGAGCTTAAAAGAACTGAAGGTCCATTGAGAAGTCAAGAAAATAGCGAAGGTGTAGAAAATTTCGCTAACATAATTACAGAATTATTGGTGCAAATAGAAACTCAAAATGGGGAAATAATTGAGTTAAAAAAAAGAATAGGCGAATATTGCGAAGAGATAACTAGATTAGAGGATCTGTACCAAAAACAATGTAAAGCGAATGAAGAACTCGTTGAACAGTATCGCGCAGCTCGAAAGAGAATATTTATATGAAGATATTGAGTTTCTGATCAAAAATAGTAATAGGTTTTCTTTAGAAAACCTATTAACTTATACTCCTCAAACATGGCTAAGTAAACGCAATCTAGTTATTGTAAAATTTATCGAGACACTAACTCACAATAATTTCAATTTAGATTCTTTAAGTATCGAAAAACTTTTTAAACAAGCGATGGCTATCGATTTAATATACGGGTCCAGACACGGGAAATACGTATCGGAAATAAATCTTGTTGCGTCGGCTATTAAGTATTCTATTGCTCGCTCGAAAACTATAATTGATGTTGATAACCATATTACGTGCTCGGGTGGTTATTCTCGTTTTCAAAGCTGGTTAAACGAACTGTCAGAAAAAGAAGAACCTTTACCTGTAGGATTTCTGTTTATAGCTTTTGATAATGAACAAAAAGGCCAGCGTAACTATCTTGATCGCAGAATGAATACGGTGATATTTCATATTGTGACTAGTTTTGCTGTTTTTAACATGGATCCTCAAAATCGTATTCAATATACTAATTTACCTTGGGCATTGAGTTCTCTTAGCAGGCATCAATAGAAAGATCTTTTTGAAATTACATCAGAGATACAAGAAGCAATAGATCAAGAATTAAATAATTATCTTGCTGAAATTCTTGAACTATTATGCGAAGAAAAATCGTCTAC